CCAGATGTGGTTGCCAGTGGTGAGGACTTGGCGCCTCAATGAGCGGCACTACGGGGGTCTGACTGGCCTCAATAAAGCAGAAACTGCTGCCAAGCATGGTGAGGCCCAGGTGAAGATCTGGAGGCGCTCCTATGATGTCCCACCACCTCCAATGGAGCCTGACCATCCCTTCTACAGCAACATCAGTAAGGTAAGGGCAAACTCAGCTTTAGCCATTCTACCCAGGATCAGAGGGTTACAATTTGGGTCTCACCATTTTCCTGTAACTTTTATGTTTTTTTTGGGTCCGGTCGTGGGGCCTGAACTCTGGGCCTGGGTGCTGTCCCTCAGCTCTTCAGCTCAAGGCTAGCGCTCTACCACTTGAGCCACAGCGCCACTTCCGGCTTTTTTCTTTTTGCTTATGTGGTGCTGAGGAATCGAACCCAGGGCCTCATGCATGCAAGGCAAGCGCTCTACCATTGAGCCACCTTCCCAGCCCATCCTGTAACTTTTAGTAATATATGTCTAGTGCCCCTAAGCTTCTAGTTTATGGTAAAATAATTAATTTTCCCTTTGCCAAGAAATGACTCACTTGTTAGAAGATGTAGTTTGTTGTATAGCCGAGAACAATTTCTTTATATCCCCATTACCGTATTTTATGAAAGCCATCCATATCCCTCCCAAACTGACCTCACAAATAGAAGTGAGCTAAGCACTGGTGGCTATGCCTATAATCCTAACTACACAGGCTGAGATCTGAGGATTGTGGTTTAAAACCAACCAGGGCAGGAAAAGTCCAAAGAGACTTCTCTCCAGTTAACCAGAAAAAGCCAGTAAAGCTGTGGTTCAAGTGGTAGAGCCGTGGCCTTAAGCAGAAGAGCTGGGGGGGGGGGGAGGGGCGGGGAGAAAGAAATGTATTCTTTACCTGACTTATGTAACTATAACTTCTTTATATATCACTTTTGCAACATTTTTTTTTTTTTGGTTGGTCTTGGGGCCTGAACTCTGGGCCTGGGCGCTGTCCCTCAGGTCTTCAGCTCAAGGCTAGTGCTCTACCACTTGAGCCACAGTGCCACTTCCAACTTTTTTCTGCTTATATTGTGCTAAGGAATTGAACCCAGGGCCTCATGCATGCAAGGCAAGCACTCTACCACTGAGCCATCTTCCCAGCCTAACGAAAAAAATTTTAAAAAGAGCTCAGGACAGCGCCTAGGCCCTGATTGCAAGCCCCAATACAAGAAAAAGTGAGTGGGGATGACCTTGTTGCACAGCTTTTTTTTTTTTGTCCCTCATGGGTCTTGAACTCTAGGCCTGGTCCCTATCCCTCAGCTCTTCAGCTCAAGGTGAGTGCTTTACCACTTGAGCCACAGCACCACTTCTGGTTTTCTGGTGGTTTATTGGAGATAAGAATCTCAGGGACTTCCCTGCCCCGGCTGGCTTTGAACCATGATCCTCAGATCTTAGCCTCCTGAGTAGCTAGGATTACAGTACAGATGTGAGCCACCGACTCCAGGCTTGTATAACTATTTTTCCTTTTCTAATGATATTTCTTTCCAACTGGGCAATGAGGGGCCAGTATAATGATCTCCTTCCCAAGCTCTCAGTTGTATTCTGGACTCTGGGGAGAATGATGGCGGAATTGATACATTGTGAAAATCATTTAACTGATGTAACTACTAATAGTTGCCAAACTTGAAAGTTTTTTTTGTTGCTTAGGATCGCAGGTACGCAGACCTCACTGAGGATCAGCTGCCCTCCTGTGAGAGCCTGAAAGATACTATTGCCAGAGCACTGCCCTTCTGGAATGAAGAAATTGTCCCCCAGATCAAAGAAGGGAAAAGAGTTCTGATTGCAGCCCATGGAAATAGCCTCCGGGGCATAGTCAAACATCTGGAAGGTATGTTCATTTTTTAGAGTGGCCCTTAAGGATAATAGCAGAACTGCCATCAGTCAGGGACTTAATACAAAGGAGAAAAGGGCTAACATACTAATAGTCTCAAAGACAGTCTGTGTTGACATCTAGTGGAAAAACACCTTGTACTTTTCTCAAAATGGTTTTCAGAGCTGTGACAGTTGGACCTTCTCGAGAGAATGTTTTATATATAAAATCTCAGGTCCTGTTAACCCATCTCCTAGGTGATTAATACACCTAAAAGTTTGAGATGCCCATAAGTTTGCCAATCAAAACCTACTAGTAACATCTTTAGTCACAATCTGGCTCATCTTCACAAATCTCTCAGTTTACACCCTAAGTTGTTTCACCCCTGAGAACTTAGAAGCCCAGAAGGGCTAGGCTTTGGCAGATGTGTTATGGACTACGTAAGGGTGTCTGAGATAAATCCTGCTTCACTGTGGGCTTTTTTTTTTGGGTCCGGTCGTGAGGCCTGAACTCTGGGCCTGGGTGCTGTCCCTCAGCCCTTCAGCTCAAGGCTAGTGCTCTACCACTTGAGCCACAGTACCACTTCCGGCATTTTTCTTTTTGATTATGTGGTGCTGGGGCATCGAACCCAGGGCCTCATGCATGCAAGGCAAGCGCTCTACCACTGAGCCACCTTCCCAGCCCTCACTGTGGGCTTTGAGGGCTCACTTTGGTAGATCTGGAGAGTAGTCTTTTCCTGTAATTTGCTGGTGACCCATCTAGGAACCTTGTGTACCTTCTATTGTCTTCCTTTTTTAGTTTAGTTGCTTGAAAAATTGGTGGTCCTGGGGTCACTCCTTGAGGGATGGATATTTCTACAGAGCAGAATTACTATCAGATTTTAGAGTGTCTTGATCTAATTCCTGCCCAAATGCTTTGTCACTGAGAGTTGTCAGTGAAAAGGTGATACAGTTTTACACCTTGGTTTTTACACCTGTGTTTGTACACATTGATGAGCATGGTGGCTGTTTTCAGGTCTCTCTGAAGAGGCCATCATGGAGCTGAACCTGCCAACTGGTATTCCCATCGTCTATGAACTGGACAAGAACCTGAAGCCGATCAAGCCCATGCAGTTCCTGGGGGACGAAGAGACCGTGCGTAAGGCCATGGAAGCTGTGGCTGCCCAGGGCAAGGCCAAGAAGTGAAGGAGAGCAGGCCAACTGCTACCCCTCAGAATACCTTCCCTGCCCATTCCTTCCTTTGCACCTCACACTGACCACATCTGTACATCTTAAGTTGTAGGTAACTGCAGATGGGGACCAGTAGCTCCCATTTTCATTGTTAGCATTGTCTCTTACACCACTCCCTTCATAGAATCTAGTCAGAATGGCACCTTTGGGGTGCAGGTTTGCTGCCTGAGCCCAGGGAAGGTTCCTTTTATATTTAGGAGGGTTGAGTGACAGTAATTCCAGTTTTTCCTAGTCCTTTGTTTACTAAGGACCTGCTTGAATAGTGGTTAGGCAGGAACCCTGCCATGGTATGACCAGTAGGAAGCCAGAGTTCATTGTGAGCCAGGACCCAGTCCTAAGCTCTGATCATCAGGTCACTGTTGAGAAGGCTTGAGTCATTCCAGTGGAAGGTGAAAGTGTCCTGCATGGTGAATTCAAAACAGCTATTTCCTCCTGACTCCAGAGGTGCTGGCTCCAGATGGTTGGGATCAATCCTGAACTACATTTTTTGTGTTATATTCACTTTTACAATAAAAAGGGTAAATACATATATATATATATATAGCTATAAAAAAACACTGAATAAAAACACATAAGGGTTTTTAGTGACAGTTGAAATAGTCGCACATGTGGTCATCAGAAGATAAGCCATTCCTCACACCAATATGGGAAAGCTTCTTGGTCTCTGAGGACAGGAATGCTTCCTGTTTCTACTTAAACCCTTCCTGCCTTGTTCTGTGGCAGTGAAATTCCTCTTAATTGTGCAAGTGTTTCACTGTCTGGTTTCTGAATCATGTTCCAGTTGCTTGGCTCTGCCACATGGACCCTATACTTATTTTGAGCATAATTACTCAGTCTTTTTCCAGATCAGTGTAATAAAAGGAGTGATGTGCAATATTTCATTGTGTGATGTATTATACCTCTTGCCTTGATGCCTCTAAAGCCTTTATGACACATTTGAGTTTCAGAGCAACTATTACATTCTGACAGCACTTGAGTGTGGAGCTTCTAGTACTTTGTTTTTTTCTTTTTGGTTGGTCATGGGGCCTGAACTCTCAGCCTGGGCACTGTCCCTCAGCTCTTCAGCTGAAGGCTAGTGCTCTACCACTAGAGCCACAGCGCCACTTCTGGTTTTTTCTGCTTATGTGGTGTTGAATCAAACCAGGGCCTCATGCATGCAGAGCAAGCACTCTCCCACTGAGCCACCTTCCCAGCCCCGTACTTTGTACTTTCTTTCCTTTTTTTGTGCCCATCCTGGGGCTTGAACTCTGCCTCGACACTGTTCTCAAGCTTTGTTGCTCAAGGTAGTTAGAGATTTACCACTTGAGCCAAGCTCCACTTCTGGCTTTTTGGTGGTTAATTGGAGCTAAAAGTCTCACAGGCTTTCCTGCCTGGGCTGGTTTTGAACGGCTTTCCTCAGGTCTCAGCATGATGAGCCATCGCCACCTGGCTCTGTCCTACTTTTCAATTCATACTTAACACTTATTGGGGGTACCACTCTATTAATATATTGTTTGTACCACTTTTCAGGACTACTCACATTCAGAACTATCTGGATTACCACATGCCTGTTACTCTCACTAAAGCATAATGTATGTGAGGGATGTGTAGTACCTGACCCAGTGCTTGGCACCTAGAAAGTGAAAGCACGTAGGAACTTGAGACAACTGTAATCAGACAACAGAAATTGGTAAAATTTCTTGGTCATAGTTTAAAAAAATGTAAGGACTATCAAAAGGAGTAGGCTATTTCCAACATCACTGAGTTTGCTGCTGCCTCCAAAGGATAATTTTCACCACTCAAGGGTGAAATTTCACTAAGATGTTCATAAGAATAGTGTTCCAAATTTCTGAACAAATTTCTAGCAGCTTTTCTAGAGGTAGATGCTGATTGATCTTAGCCATCTGAATGAAGACCATGACGTCTTGATATCTTTATGCATGTATCCTTGGAAATAGCTTACCCCCTCCTTGGGGTAAAAGGTGCTTAAGTCTGCAAGAATTCAGGCTGTACTCGGGCCACTTTCCGGAATTCCTTAGTGTGGGTCTTAGGGCACTGCATCTCACACCAGCTGATGGGAACCATCTGGACACCTAGAAGGAAAAGGGGAGTGTTGGAGCTGGGATCCACATGCTTCCTTGAGACCCATTTTCAGCTGGATATGCAACTGAAGTGTCAGGTTGGGATGCAGTTCAGTGGCAGAGTGCTGACTGTGCATAAAGCCTGAATTCAATCCCTAACACCTAGTGAAACCCACCTCACCCAGAGAATATGGATTGTTTCTTTAGATTTAGAAAAACATTGCAATTGCAGACATATTCTGGGATATGCAATTTCATCAGTGTGCAAACACAGCTAAGGCATCACTGGTATGATTTTGTTTTTGAGGGTCAAGTCCAGGAAGGGTCTCGTGCATACTGGGCAAATTCTCTGTCACACTTAACTGCATCTCCATCCCTAGATATAGTTGTAGGGGACCAAATCTTTTGTTCTATTCACAAGTCACTATTCACACTTCAATGCTTTCCAAATAATTAAAAGGACAAGGAATAACAATGGATTAACATCAAACGACAATTTCCAGGAAAAACTTAGGAGCAGATCATAGACCAACTCACCTGATTCACTGTGGGCCACCACCACTCCCAGCTCATTTTCAGCAGTGGTCAGCAGGTAGTTAGATTGTGCATCTCCTAGGGAGATCTAGCAAAACACTTGTGAAGGAAAATGATGGGTTTTAGTTCTTCCTTACCTATAGCCACTTGAGTTCTTTTTCTACCTCTATTTCTTTTGACAAAGCCAGAAATCTGTTAGAATAAAGGATACCACTTTAGCTAAGACAATGTCACCTGGACGGAAACTCTTATAAATTTCAACCTGCAAAGAAAGAACAACAGTGATAAGCGAAAGCTATTGATTAAGTCTACATGAAAATTATTAATCATCCCCCTTTCCTCACAGTAGAGCCAATCTACTTCGTTAGGTTTAGGAATTTTTTATTTCAATTCTTTATTCTTAAAAAAAGGCTATTACTACAGAGAGGTTACAGTTATATCAATCTGCTTTCTAATCCTGCTGGTGGATGTCAGTATTACTCAAGTGAGTGAAGACTTCACTTGCTCCTCTAAATTAAAGGCTCTTAATTAAGTAACTTAATCAGCAATCTGACTTGTACAAAAGGCACTATAGTTGGTTTTGAAAAAGCCCAGGGTAGCTGGGTGCTGGTGGCTCATGCCTGTAATGCTAGCTACTCAGAAGGCTGAGATCTGAGGATCCCGGTTCAAAGCCAGCCCGGGCAGGAGAGACCGTGAGACTTATCTCCAATAAACTACCAGAAAACCGGAAGTGGCGCTGTAGCTCAAGTGGTAGAGCGCTTGCCTTGAGCTGGAGAGCTGAGGGACAGCGCCCAGGCCCAGAGTTCAAGCCCCACGACCGACCAAAAAAAAAAAAAAAAAAGAAAAAAAGAAAAAGCCTAGGGTAAATCTGAGGAAAGAGCAAAAGATAGCTGGGCACGATGGCACATAAACCTATCACCTGGAAGACCAAAACAGGAAGATGAGTTCTGGACCAGTGTAGGCTGGCTACATAGCAAGATGCAGTCTCAAAGAGAAATGAGCGAAAAAAATGTCGAGAGAGGAATAGTGAGGCTTTATATGCTACAGCAGGAAAGGAATTAATTTCCACATTCCACGTTCCCATAGACATTTGAAATTCTCTGGGATATTTTTTTTCCCCCTCTTTTCAGTCCTTGTGAATGAATAGAGTTGTAAACATGGTAAATAAGTGCTCTACTACTAAGCTATGATCCCAGCCCTCACTGGCATAATAATTGAGAAATAATTCCTAAAGCCATGGGGGTGGGGAAAAAAAAACAAACCAACCAACAACCTTGTCTTTTTCAGTTGCTCGGACATCTTCTTTCCTATTTAAAAAAAAAAAAGTAACAGAAAGATTAACTGTGAGAAAGAATAATCTTGCAGATTCCTAGCAAACTAAAAAGCTACAAGAGAAGACAGAATAAGCCAAGATGGGCGCCCAGGTGCTACCACAGGATGAAGGGTGGAAAGGTCTCCTCGATGTGCACTGAGAAGAGAAAACAACTTTTGCCCATTCTAGGATTACAGGACAGTAGTAATGATACCTATGAGTCAGGACAAGCAGATCGGATTTTTCAGGAGAGGATGAGGAACACTGTTGCCTCCGGAGAATGTGAAGAGAGGCAACACAGAACCACATAAAATCCTGAAGCCATGGGGCTGGGAAGGTGGCTCAGTGGTAGAGTGCTTGCCTTGCATGCCTGAGGCCCTGGGTTCGATTCCTCAGCACCACATAAGCAAAAAGAAAAAAAGCCGGAAGTGGCACTATTGCTCAAGTGGTAGAGTGCTAACCTTGAGCTGAAGAGCTGAGGGACAGCGTCCAGGCCCAGAGTTCAGACCCCATGACTGGACCTTCTCCCCCCCCCCCCCCCCCCCCAAAAAAAAATACTGAAGCCAGAAAGGGCCTTAAAAGTTAATTATCTGAGCTGGATAGCAGTAGCTCCTAGCTACTCAGGAGGCTGAGATCTGAAGATCAAAGCCAGCCCAGGTAGGAAAGTTATGAAACTTTTTTTGGGGGGGGGTCGGTTGTGGGGCTTGAACTCTGGGCCTGGGCCCTGTCCTAGAGCTCTTCAGCTCAAGACAAGCACTCTACCACTTGAGCCATAGCATCACTTCCAGTTTTCTGAGTGGTTTATTGGAGGTAAGAGTCTCATGGACTTTCCTGCCCATGCTGGCTTAGAACTGTGATCCTCAGGTCTCTGCTTCCTGAGTAGCTAGGATTACAGGCACGAGCCACCAGCACCTGGCTTATTTTTATTGTATTATTATTTTGTGGTTGTGTGGGCTTGAACTCTGGGCCTGGGCGCTGTCCCAGAGCTTTTCAGCTCAAGGTTAGCACTCTATCACTTGAGCCACAGTGCCACTTGTGTTTTCTGGTGGCTTACTGGAGATGAGAGTCTTGTTGACTTTCCTACCAAGGCTGGCTCTGAACCACGAACATCAGATCTCAGCCTCCTGAGTAGCTAGGATTACAGGTGTGAGCCACCTGTGCCCGGCTTTTTTTTTTTTGATTCTGGTACCAGAGCTCAAATTCATGGCCTACAAGTGTTGTCCCTTAGCTTTTATTCTCAAGCCTGGTGCTCTATCACTTGAGCCACAACTCTACTTCTGGCTTTTTGATGGTAATTGGTGATGAGTCCGAGGGACTTTCCTGCCTGGGTTGGTTTCAAACCTTGATCCTCAGATCTGTTTCTTCAGTAGCTAGGATTATAGGTGTGTAAGCTACCAGTATCTGGCTAAACGTCTATTCATCTTCTCTTTCTGTCTTAACTTCTAGCATATTTTCTTTGGATAGTATAAGGGAGAATGGAAGAATAAATGGGAAATAAAAGCAGGCAGATATATGAATTTTAATTGTTTCTAAAAATCTAGCCTCTTCCACTATCCTTGTCTCATGGTAGATGCTGAGGCCAGTGAAGACAAGCCTATTTCTTACCGAATAGTTCCTCGAAAAGAATTCTTAAGTGGTGTGGATCCCACATAGAGGATATGTACTTTGGCAAAACGTGAATTGATGCTAGAGACCTGTGGAATAGAGAAGAGTTAACATCAGAGCATTCATTAGCAACTGTTTTAAGAAACAAGTCTAGGGGCTAGGAAGGTGGCTCAGTGGTAGAGCACTTGCCTTGCATGCATGAGGCCCTGGGTTTGATTCCTCAGCACCACATAAGCAAAAAGAAAAAAGCCGGAAGTGGCGCTGTGGCTCAACTGGTAGAGCACTAGCCTTGAGCTGAAGAGCTGAGGGACAGCACCCAGGCTCAGAGTTCAGGCCCCATGACCGGACCCCAAAAAAAAAAAAAAAAAAAAAGAAACAAGTTTAAACTAGGTGTGCTCATGCATACCTGTACAATAATCCTAGTTAGTTAGGTGGTTGAGGCTGTAGGATTAAATTTGAGGCCAATTTAGGCTTTGTAGAGAGTTAGAGACAAGGCTCATCAACTTAGTGAGAATCTGTTTCAAAAATTAAAAATTAAACCTTAAGAGTAACACAAAGGTGCTATCCATTTGTGCCTCTGATCATATAAAATAATATTTATCAAAATGAAAAAAACAAGCACATAAATCTAAAACAAATAGATAATAGGCATAGTAAAAACAGACCTTTAAGGCAAGGTGCTGGTTGCTCAGGCCTGTAATCCTAGCTACTCAGGAGGCTGAAACCTGAGGATTGCAGTTTTTTTTTTTTTTTTTTTGTCGGTCGTGGGGCTTGAACTCTGGGCCTGGGTGCTGTCCCTCAGCTCTTCAGCTCAAGGCAAGCGCTCTACCACTTGAGCTACAGTGCCACTTCCGGTTTTCTGGTGGTTTATTGGAGATAGGAGTCTCACGGTCTCTCCTGCCCGGGCTGGCTTTGAACCGCGATCCTCAGATCTCAGCCTCCTGAGTAGCTAGGATTACAGGCGTGAGCCACCAGCGCCCGGCTGAGGATTGCAGTTTGAAGCCAGCCCAAGCAGGTCCATGAGACTCTCATCTCCAATTAACCACCTGAAACCTGGAACTGATGCTGTGGCTCAAAGTCCTAGAGGAGTAGCCTTGAGCCAAAGAAGCTTAGGGACAGTGCCAGGGCCCTGAGTTCAAGCCCCACAACGGACAAAACAAAAACAAAAACAATCCTTTAACAGGTTTATTTGGAGGCCTGGATAATGGAGAGATTTAAATTTATATTTCAAGGTGAGATATGAGGCTCAAATACTAGAACACCTACATAATAAGTGAGTTCAAATTAAGTACTGGCTTAAAAAAAAAGTTTCAGCTGCTACCTAACATTTGAAGCACTGCCTCAGCAGCTATTTTCAGTGCAACACGTAAGATTTTCTTTAGTTATAAAACAAAGAAACTGAGAGTTACAAATTAGCTTAATCTGGCAGAAGGTAGTGTTAGTAATAATGAGTTACTCATCAGTATAGCATTAGTTTGTATCTCCTCTCAAAGAAGGAGTCTTCTGTTTCCTAGAAGATTTTAAATTTAATAGAAATACAAGAGAAAAACTTTTGCTTCTCAAAAACGTATCAAGTTAGATGTTCAAAAGTAAAACTGGGCTGGGAATATGGCTTACTGATAGAGTGCTTGCCTAGCACACATGAAGCCCCAAGTTTGATTCCTTAATATCACATAATCAGAAAAAGCCAGAAATGGTGTTGTGGCTCAAGTGGTAGAGTGCTAGACTTGAGTAAAAGAAGCTCAGGGACAGTGTTGGGGTGGGGGTGAGCAAAAACAAGTGCTGGAGGTTAACAAACTTGTAATCCTAGCTACGTAGGAGGCTGAGATCTGAGGACTGTGGTTCAAAGCCAGCTGAGACAGGAAAGTGTGTGAGACTCTCATCTCCAATTAACCACCAAAAAGCTGGAAGTGGAAGTAGAGCTATGGCTCAATACCAGCCTTTAGTGAAATACTTGAGTAAAATACCAGCCTTGAGTGAAAGAGATGATGCTCAGGCCCTGAAGCCCAGTTCTGGCTTCTGTTGGGCACTGGTGGTTTATGTCTATAATCTAGATATTCAGGAGGCTGAGATTTGAGGACTGTGGTTTGAAGCCAGCCCAGGCAGGAAAGGCTGAGAGACTCTTATCTCTAATAAACTACTCACAAAAAACTGGAAGTGGTGTTGTGGTAGAATGCTAGCCTTGATCACAAAGAGGCTCAGGGATAGTGCCCAGGCCCTCAGTTCAAGCCCGGACCAGCAAAAAAATAAAAAAAGCACTTCTGCCAGAGAGCATGGCTCAAGCCCGTAATCCTAGCTACTTCAGAGGCAAAGATCAAGGGACTAAAGTTTGAGGCCAGCTCTGGCAAAAGAAAAAATTTCAAGAGTCATCCCACTGATGAGGAGCAGCAGTCCAAAGAGGACCCAGGTACAAAGTGAGGAGCTATTTGAAAAATAGCCAATGCAAGCCAGGTGCTGGAGGCTTACAGCTATAATTCTAGCTAACTACTCAGGAAGGTGAAATCTGAGTACAGAGTATCAGAATCAACCCAGGCAGATAAATCCACAAGAGTCTTATACTAATTAACTAGAAAGCCCTCCCTCCCCCAAATGGAGGCAAGGCTCAAGTGGTAGAGCACCAGCCAGGAGCATTGGGAAAAAAAAAGTCCTCCTTATCACCCTCTGGCACTTCTGTTTCTCAGACACAAGTAGAAACTACATTCTAAGAGACAGCTTAGTGAAAGAACTATGTAAGCCTGAATTTGGCGGCCTTGCTTATTATAGGAGTCTTTAGGCCTGTCCAATCTAGTAAAACGAACTTTCATCCCCTTTTCCCCTCTTTTTCTCCCCTTAACTCCTTCACCCCTTTCTTTCAGATAGAGAGCATCTTGCTATGTAGAGAAGACTGGTCAAATTCAGGCTAGCCTAGCCTTGAATTCGTGATCTTGCTTTCAGTCTTCTAAGTACTAAGATTATAAGTAACTACCATATGGCACAATGAAATTCTAGAATGGTCATGGCTCTTTGAACATGTAGTTCTACAATGGTGTCCTAAATGCAGAGGTTAGGACAAACTTACCTTACAGGTGACAATAGCTCCCACATCTGGCAGTAACTGAGACTCTGTTTCTCGCATCACAGATACCACAGGAAGCTATACAGAGAATAAAAAATGAATGTCCTGGCTAAGACTTTTGTGGTTTGAGCATAAAATAGAAATGCCTTGAGGTCACAAAGGTAGATAGACCTTTAAGATTCATTTATACTCCAGATCAGAGAAAATCAGAAATTTTAAGAAATAGTAGGGCAAGAGGCCACTGAAGAATGCTGCTTGAAAAAGCTAGGTACGATGGTACATGATTGTAATTCCAGTTGCAGAAGCAAGATCATCTTGAGTTGGAGGCCAACCTGGGAAAAAGCAGTGACAAGATCCTGTCTCAAAAACAAAAGCAAAAGGTTGGGTAGTGCAGTTCAAGTGGTAAAGTATTTGCCTGGCATGTTTAAGGTCCTGGATTCAATTCCAGCACACCTCTCCCCAATGCTACTGTAATTCTCTAGTCATTCCGGATTGTTCTGTGTTTTGGTGATATTCTTAGGATTTCTTGATATACAATCATATTGTCTGTAACCATGGATAACTGGAGTCTTCCTCCAAAGTTATAATGCTTCTATTTTATTGCACAGAATTTCCAAATACATGTCTTTTCAGCCTGGCATTGGTGTAATCCTAGCTATGCAGGAGGCTGAGATCTGAAGGTTGGAGATCTGAAGGCTGAGATCAAGGTTGGAAGCTTGCCTGGTCAAAAATGTTCATAAGATTCTTACCTCTAATTAACAACCAAAATTCTGGAAGTAGAGCTGTGGTTGAAAAGGTAGAACAGCCTTGAACAAAAAAAGCTAAAGGAGGGGCAGGGAAGGTGGCTCAGTGGTAGAGTGCTTGCCTTGCATGCCTGAGGCCCTGGGTTCGATTCCTCAGCACCACATAAGCAAAAAGAAAAAAGCCAGAAGTGGCGCTGTGGCTCAAGTGGTAGAGCGCTAGCCTTGAGCTGAAGAGCTGAGGGAAGTGCCCAGACCCAGAGTTCAGGCCCCATGATCGGACCCAAAAAAAAAAAAGAACAGCATCCAGGCTCCAAGTTCTACCTTCAGTACCTACACACACAAACATACACATACATGGACACACACACACACACACACACACACACACACACACACACACACACACACACACACACACACACACACACACACACACACACACACCTCTTTTCTCCTTCGTTTATTCTATTCTTTCCCTTCTTTTCCTGTTTTCTCCTCTTCTTTCTCAGCAGGATCAGGTTGGCCTCCAACTCCAGAGAACCTCTTGCCTTAGTTTCCTAAGTAGCTAGGACTAATTACAGTCACACACCACCACCCCTCATTGAATTTAAAGTCTAGTAGAGGAAGAGACTAGTGGGAAAATATGACCAACTGTTTAGTTTTTAAATGCTTGGAAGGAGGCAGATAAAAGTCTTTTTGAGTGTTTAACAAAACTATTCCTTTCAACACAAATCCCCTTTCCTTAACCAGTGCATTTAGAGGAGCTTCTCTGAGAGGCTATATGAAAGAAGTAAGAGTTGCATAGATAGGTTAATGAGAAGGGAGTGGTCTATCTGGATGGCAAGTGCATAAAGGGGTCTGGGGAAGGAGACAGTTTGGTGCATTAGCGACTTTCAAAGCTGCCAGCAGGGCCAGATGAAGTCAGAAGAGACAGTGGAGTTTGGTAATTTGATAGGTCTCATCTCACTGCTAGGCTGGACTACTCTCAACTTTCGTCTGTTCTTTTTCCTACCCAAGTTCCCGAGCGTCACCAGCACAATCAAGCGACATCAATTGAGCAGATAGATATGTGTGGCTGCTCAGGGCACAGCAGCCGCGATCACAGCTAGGAGAAACTGAGACGAAACCATTCAATCGGAGGAGTACTCAAGACGCGTCCGCAGTGCTCGTGCCTAAGGGCCAGAACTCAACGGCAGCTTAAAAGACAGTATCATTAGAGCCCCAGGACCGGTGCACTCACAGACAGACAGACAGACACAGCATCAAGAGAGAAGGAAAGTCGTTTACCGCGCCGTTCTCGCTGGTCTTCGTCAGGCAGCCGACAAGCGACGAAAAAATGTAGCCGTGCCGGGTGTAGGTACCGCTGCCCGGGCTGGCTTCCTCCAAGTTGCACAGACGTTCGCCTGAAGAAAGAACGCTGCATCGGACACAGGCTTCCAGAAGCTGCTGATCATCCAGCCTTCCTGCCTGTCAGGAATTTTTCGTGCCGGAATCACTCACTTACCTGGAATACAGTATCTCACGGGCGGCGCCATGACTGCCGACGTTCCACACCCTGCGAAGCCTGAGATAACTTCCCATTGGTCCCCTGTGGGCGCAGTACTGCAGTAAGAACCGCGGTAATTGGTGAACGTTGTCACGTGGTCGGCGCGCGCGCCTCCTTGAGAGAAGACTTCATTTCCCAGATGGTACCGGGACAAATCTAGGGGCGGGACTTGAGGCTCCCGGGCTTGCGCCTTTGGCTGGAGGTTGAGGATGGGCTGGCGGCGGGTCCGGGTCCACCCTCTGTGGCTCAGAGCGGCGGGCTATGGCGGGTCTGCTTGAGTCCGGCCCGCCCGGGGCGCTGAGCTGGAGGAAGGGGCTGTGAGTGACAGCAGAGGCTGCGGGGCTCAATTTGGCTGCTTGAAGCGTTGGCAGGCGGCAGGTAAGGGAGAAGATTCGGCCCGTGCTCCCCATCCTAGTCCCTTTTTCTAGGGTCAGGCCCTGTCTCAGGGCCTCGAGGTGAGTCCAGATTCTGTGCTCCCTTGGACTCGCCCTGCAGTGCCCACTCCCTTCCGTGCCAGGCCCGTCTCCAGCAGAGCGCACCCTCAGGGCTGAGGTAATCCTCAGAGGCAGGAGGAGGTCAGCCAGACACAACTGGCCCATTTCACAGGTCCGACAACTCACATCCAAAGTTTGGTTTGTCCAAACTCTCGAGAAACTCGAACCTAATTTATTTTTCTTAAATTTTTGCCTCCAGTCCCTTGGTGCTTTGGCCACAATGCCGTCGTGGAGACAGCCTTTTCCTGGTTTTTGCAACTGCAGCTTCCTGTCCTGCAGCCCGCGCTCGTAGTTAGGTGGACCCTTCAACTTTGGATGAACATTCCTAAGATAAAATTACTATTACTATTCCCTTTTTTTTTTCTCGTTTGCCCAGAAGGAAAGTCTGCACATGAATAATACTGCTCTTTACTGATGTCTGACATCTGCTTGAGATGGAAACATCCTGAGAGCATCTTTGTCCAGATGAAATTTGCCACGACTTTGATCTGTTTCATCTGCCTTCTGGTAGCTTTGGAATCTATTCTTCCCTCTTGTCCCCTTCCCTCCCTGTCAATCAGTTTTTCCCTTGGGAAACAGATGGTGATTTAGAGCTCTGGGATGAGGGTAGTACTGTGACCTGCAATCTCTAATCTGGTGGCAGATGGCCATTATGGCCTGTGGGCTCTATTGAGGGATGGGACTAGTTTGCATTTGGGGTACTAGGAGAACTATGCTTTGTTTTTTCACTCCCCTGTTAACTCTTCCTCCCTAAACACATAACTGAGTTTTGCTTACCTGTTTCCTGAGATTAAATGTTTCAGATGTGGTCTACTGATAACAAATCCCCGATTCCCTTTATCTGCCATATCCCAATTAGCTAAAGTTAGAGGAGAGGCCTGGTTTCACACTAGGCTCACTCTATGACTCTAAGCTTTTTTGTTTCACATGTTTGGGTTGAGTTCTGTTTGTACTTGTTTCCTAAAAGTGCCTTCCAGCTCTTTAGTGTTAGGATTGTAATAAGTTTCATTTTCTCTCTTTATTAATCAGGAAGAATGATAGGAGCAAACACTTTAGTGTTATCACATTGGCAGACGTATCCTTGATGGTATTTGTAGAACAGATAGACATCTGACCACTTTCCACTTCTGCATCTCTCCAGGTCATTCATTCAACAAATATTTATTGACTACATCCATGAGCCAGGTATTGTTTTAACTACTTTATAAACATTTTATTTATACCATGCCAAGTGTGTGTATGTAAATATACATACATACACACATATTTATATATTATACAATCATATTAATGCTGGAGGGACCTATTTTTTTTTTTTTTTTTTTGGGTCCGGTCGTGGGGCCTGAACTCTGGGCCTGGGCGCTGTCCCTCAGCTCTTCAGCTCAATGCTAGCGCTCTACCACTTGAGCCACAGCGCCACTTCCGGCTTTTTCTTTTTGCTTATGTGGTGCTGAGGAATCGAACCCAGGGCCATGAGCATGCAAGGCAAGCGCTCTACCACTGAGCCACCTTCCCAGCCCCTAAATATTTTTTTAGGAATACAGGGAGATTGAGTTCTGGCATGATATAAGCAGATATATGAGAATCTAGTCTTTGAGATAGGCATTTCTTGTAGAACTCAGGAATTCAGGAGGTAGTTGAGAATAATCTGAAAAGAAGTGAATCTGAGGAGTTTTTTTGACTAGGTGTGGTGGCTCTGGCTTTGAGGCATGAATTAGTGTTTATTACTAATGAGGGAGTGCATCTGATTTACACAGTGTTCTGCTATAAGAAATATTTTAGCAAATAGGATATTCTTCAATATCCCCAGCAAGAGAATGTATAGGTGGAGTGAATAGTCCAAAAGTCATCTAGATTTGTTGTGGGGCAGTCAGTTCTCTTCTGTCAGAAAGGAGAGAGAAGAAAAAAATATTGTTATTGTGCTGGTTTTGGGCTTGAACTCAGAGCCTGGGTGCTGTCCCTGAGATTTTTTTTTTTTGCTCAAGGCTAGTGTTTTACCACTTTAGTTACAGCTCTGCTTCTGGCTTTTTGGTGGTTAATTGGAGATAAGAGTCTCATGGATTTTCCTGCCAAGGCTGGTTTTGAACTGTGATCCTCAAATCTCAGCCTGCTGGGCAGCTAGGATTATAGGCAGGAGTTACTGGTGACTGGCTCTGACCTTTTATTTGATTATGACTGCTATTTAAAAAATGTATGCTTTACCCAAATCATGGTTCCAAACAATAGGAGTACAACTCAAAGAAGGTTTACCCCAGCTTTTTGTTGTTGTTGTCAGTCATAGGGCTTGAACTCTGGGCTTGGGCACTGTCCTTGTGCTCTTCAGCTCAAGGCGAGGGCTCAACAGCTTGAGCTACAGCACCACTTCCAGTTTTCTAGTGGTTTTATTGGAGATAAGAGTCTCAGGGATGGGCTGGGAAGGTGGCTCAGTGGTAGAGTGCTTGCCTTGCATGCTCGAGGCCCTGGGTTCCATTCCTCAGCACCACATAAGCAAAAAGAAAAAAGCCGGAAGTGGTGCTGTGGCTCAAGTGGTAGAGTGCTAGTCTTGAGCTGAGGAGCTGAGGGACAGTGCCCAAGCCCAGAGTTCAGGCCCCATGACCGGACCCCCCCAAAAAAAAAGTCTCAGGGACTTTCCTGCCTGGGCTGGCTTTGAACCGCTATCCTCAGATCTCAGCCTCCTGAGTAGCTAGGATTACAGATGTGAGCCACCAGTGCTGACCCGGTTTATTTTTATTTTTTCTATTTTTTACACTCCTTTTAATTCTCTTAACTTCCTAGGAGGCGACGGCAATGGCTAGTTTCTTTCTTCTTTTTTTTTTTTTTTTTGCCAGTCTGGGGGCTTGAACATAGGGCCTGACACTATCCCTGAGCTTCTTTTGCTCAAGGCGAGCACTCTACCACTTGAGCCACAGTGTCACTTCCAGCTTTTATTTCAATAAAATGGCCAAGTTGGCATTGAGGTCTTGATCCTCCTACCTCAGCCTTCTGAATGCTGGTTTTCTCTCTCTCCCTTCCTCTCTCTGTACACCTCATTTGCTTGGTTTCTTTCTTTTTTTTTTTTGGGTCTGGTCATGGGGCCTGAACTCTAGGCCTGGGTGCTGTCCCTCAGCTCTTCAGCTCAAGGCTAGTGCTCTGCCACTTGAGCCACAGTGCCACTTCTGGCTTTTTTTTTTTTTTTTGCTTATGGGGTGCTGAGGAATCGAACCCAGGGCCTCAGGCATGCAAGGCAAGCACTCTACCACTGAGCCACCTTCCCAGCCCCTGCTTGGTTTCTTTTTAAGGTTTTAGGGCATGTAGAAGAGGGTGTTTAAGTATTTCTTCTGAAAGGCTTTTTGTGTGGGGATGATCCAGGATGCAAGGAGAGTACATTGCTCCAGTTACTGAATTGAAACCATCCTATGGCAGAGCAGACTCCTCCAGTTTCTGCTGTATCTTGAGCTGCCTTTTAAATAAGTCAGTAGTTATTAAGGACAAAGCAAATCTTGGCTGCCCTAGGAGAAAATCAGATATTCTTTTTTGGTAAGAGACTTTAATCTGTAGAACTGATGAAGCTATCATGAGAAGAGTCTGTTAAGAGTATCTGTATCCTGGGTTCTGGTCATTGCTTGCATAGTGAGCTCCTCACAGAGTGAAGGAGGTAGAGAATACATGGAGATGGGGGTACTTAAAGAGGAGCCATGGAGAGGGCTGGAGAGCTAGGAGGGCGAGTTTGGAAGCCTGGGGTCAAAAGCTGGAGATGCAGGTGGTTCTTGAGTGTCTTAACTATAGTGCAGCAAAGAAAATTTATCACAGGGAGCAAGCCCTTTCCACTGCTTTGAATTCTTGAAGTTGTTTTGGTTGGATCATCCTTGGGGTAGAGCTGGGAGTGCAACTGGAGACAAAGCATCTTATGTCATATAAGGGGTGGCTGGCTGCCCTGACAGGAGACACACAATCTCCTGCTACCAAGCTGTCGCTGGCTTGTAACCTAAGCCTACAGGGAATAGGAAGATCTTTAGCTAAGACACAGCAACAGGGAAGATCTAGGTGTAGGGTCTCATGCTGGACCCCTCCCACAAAAAAAAATTCCATTTCCTACCTTCTACAATGTAAGGTGGTTGGGACATTGATACTAGACATTCTATTTTTTTTTTTTTTTGGGTCCGGTCATAGGGCCTGAACTCTGGGCCTGGGCACTGTCCCTCAGCTCTTCTGCTCAAGGCTAGCACTCTACCACTTGAGCCACAGCACCACTTCCGGCTTTTGTTTTTTCTGCTTATGTGGTGCTGAGGAATCGAACCCAGGGCCTCATGCATGCAAGGCAAGAGCTCTACCACTGAGCCACCTCCCAGCCCTGGACATTCCATTTTTAAGTGAGGTAATCTTTTCTTTCCCACAGTTGATGACTGGCCTTATCAGAACTTCAGTCTTGGGGCCTTCTCACTGGTGATACAGGTATGGGCAGGATTTAAGCTAGATCCTCACAATGATATAATATCCTAGGAACCATGCGGGTCCAGCGGAGCCTGCTGCTGGGCCCAGCCCGTCTCTGCCTGCGTATTCTCCTGCTCCTGGGCTACAGGCGCCGCTGTCCACCTTTGCTCCGAGGACTGGTACAGCGATGGCGGTATGGCAAGGTCTGCCTGCGCTCCCTGCTGTACAACTCCTTTGGGGGCAGCGACACTGCTGTTGATGCTGCCTTTGAGCCTGTCTACTGGCTGGTGGACAACGTGATCCGCTGGTTTGGGGTGGTAAGTGAGGATGCCAAAGTTGCCCAGGAAAAAGGGATGGTTTTTGGAGCAGAGGGGAGTGTCTCTGATAGTCCTATACTAGGCTTTGGAGGCAAGACCCTAGCCTTAAGGAAACTCGAGACTCCTCTAGGTGTAACTCTTAATTATGTCTAACTGAACTCCCTGGTGTTGGCAGGTGTTCGTGGTGCTGGTGATTGTGCTGACGGGCTCCATCGTGGCCATTGCCTACCTATGTGTCCTGCCCCTCATTCTCCAAACCTACTCAGTGCCACGACTCTGTTGGCATTTCTTCTATAGTCACTGGAATCTGATCCTCATCGTCTTCCATTACTACCAGGCCATCACCACTCCTCCTGGGTACCCACCTCAGGTGGGTCCCTACTGGCACAGGGTGGAGGGGGAGAGCTGTAGGCTATGGGAGCCAGTTCTATGAGTGGGAGAGAGAGTACCTTGCAAACTTTTGAGACATAAAAAGCAGTCATGATGTTGTTCTCCCTCCAAACAGGGTAGGAATGACATTGCCACAGTCTCCATCTGTAAGAAGTGCATTTACCCCAAGCCAGCCCGAACACATCACTGCAGCATCTGCAATAGGTAGGTCTTTGCTTTGCTCTCTGTGAACCCAGTGGTGGCCCTTTTGCTATAATCTTAGGCTAACAATTGGCATTAGAACTTGTTAAGATATGAAGCAGTGTGATGTCCATCTCCTAACACCTAGTCCTTTAGGGTAGTCCTGTGAGTTAGGCATTATTACTGCTTCGAGAAGTGAGTTTCTTGTCCAGTATCATGTAACAATAAACTGCAGAGCTGGGTTTGAAGCAAGGCCTGGCTGTCTTCATAGTCTGTGCCCTTTCCACCTCAGCAGGATGCTGGTCCTTGTAGGAAAGTATTGGCACTATCATCTCCAGAACCTTGGCCACCGTAACAGAGCCTGTGTCCCTCCCTCACAGGTGTGTGCTGAAGATGGATCATCACTGCCGTATCCTTTTGCTCTCTTCTGTTCCAGGGTTTTTTTTATTTATTTTTTTTTAAGCTTCAAAGCACTGTACAGGGTTAGTGGCCACAAACCCAAGTCTTCTACATCAGCCTACAAAGAGCACTCACTGGGCTCATGAGAAGTTAGTAGAAAGGTGCTATGGGGGCAGACAATCTTCTGGGCAAGAGGTTCATAGGCTCTTTGACACATGGATTTTCTGGGTGCAATGAATCTTGTACAAGTCTTCCTTTTGTAGGCTGTGGTGTAACAGCCATTGAGTGGAAAGAGGTGTCTGGGCATCTATGGCTTCTACTGGGGGTGCCAGATAGAACCAAGGCCCCTTTCTGCTGTCCCATACAGCTGTCTAGCTAACCCTGGTTACTATGTGTCAGGTACATTCTACATGATTTCCTAGTGGCTCTTTCTAGAAGACTTTCACCTCAACCTTGGGAAACTGTTTCCTATTTTCTTGGCTTTGAAAAAAAAAATAGATCTTAGGAATGACATTGATCTCAAGATACATTGTATTAATAAACTGACATGTTGAATTGAAACGCATTTGTATAACTACTTAAAAATAACAGAAAAATTAGTTCTTGCTTGGGTGATGTCTTTTTTTGTTTGTTTGTTTGTTTTTTTGGGTTGGTTGTGGAGCCAGAACTCTGGGCCTGGGCGCTGTCCCTCAGCTCTTCAGCTCAAGGTTAGCGCTCTGCCATTTGAGCCACAGCGCCACTTCCGGCTTTTTTCGTTTTGCTTATGTGGTGCTGAGGAATTGAACCCAGGGCCTCTGGCATGCAAGGCAGGCGCTCTACCACTGAGCCACCTTCCCAGCCCTTGGGTAATGTCTTACATCAAGAACATCTCTTGAAATTATTTGATCTTATCCTTAAATCACTTCACCAGCCTGGCTAAACAATTGTGTGGGCCATTATAATCATCGGTACTTCTTCTCTTTCTGCTTTTTCATGACTCTGGGCTGTGTCTATTGCAGCTATGGAAGTTGGGATCTTTTCCGGGAGGCCTATGCTGCCATTGAGGTAAGTCCATGATTAGGAGCAGGGCAGCTTAGTAGGGCAGAACTTTGGGATATGAAACCTGTTCCTAAGGAAGGGGGCTGGTAGCACCCCTATCCTAGAGGCCTGAGAGTATAACCAGCACTGTTTTCCATCCCCTTAGAAAATGAAACAGCTCGACAAGAACAAACTACAGGCGGTTGGCAACCAGGTGGGCTGACCCCGCCCCACTGCCCCCTGCTGCTTAGGCCTGGGGGTTTAAGAGTTGTTCTGGCAACTGGGCCTGCTAATTTAATTATAGGGGTTAGAGGCTGCAACAGCATTGGCTCATAAGTGTTTAGGGAGGCTGCCTTGCCACTGGTAGATTCAGTAGCCCAGGGGCAGGCAAGTGAGTAGTCTTTTGTTATCTATCCTGTCATCGCCTCTGGGCTGAGCCTGGACTCTGCCCTGCTGATAGCCTGAGCAGCCAGGAGTCCTTGTTAGTCTGTGTAATGGGGCTCCACGGGACAGTGATGTCTGTCCCGTCTACATCTGGATCATCCTCCTTTGTGCCTTTTAAGCGTATCCTGAGCTTGTCCCTCTGCTGCCCTCACAAATTCTTAGTGGAACTCAGTTCTTTCCCTTTCAGTTTGCCCATGCTGGGTGTGGGTCCAGTCTTTTGGAGGATGTAGCCGCAGTGAAGGAGTTCTGGCTAGGGACTACAGTGGCTTCCCCTGGAGCCCCATTTGTGTTGTCAACCTTAAGGCCCAGGGTTATCACCTCATGTTTTGCGATCTTGTCTAAACCTGTTCTGCCCAGTGTTTTGTCGGTATGATGGTGCTGCCAGGCTTGGCCCATACACCTGGCTGCTGTCCTAATTCCTCTGTGGCTTTAATCCCATTTCTCTGCCTGGGTTTGTATCACTCCCTGCCTGTAGTTGCTGGGGGCTTTGGTGGCAGTTACTGGAGACTAACAGAGCAAAGAAGCCAGGCTTTGCTGTTTTCTTTTTCTAGACTTACCACCAGACCCCACCACCTATCTTCTCCTTTCGAGAAAGGATAACCCACAAGAGTCTTGTCTACCTCTGGTTCCTGTGCAGGTATTTAACTCAGTTTTGCTAGTTTTAAGGAAGGGGAAGTATCAGGAACTCATCCCTGAGTGGCCTGCTGCTATTCTAGTCTACTGAGATTGGTAAAGAGAACGTTTTCCAGCATTTTGGGCAGAGACTTTCAAGGACAGCAGTACTCCTGGTTACGAAGCACTAAGGATATGACATGCTTGTTAAGTGTAAGTTAAGTGTCTACTGCATTTATTCCTTGTACCTACTTGAAGAGAAGGTGACTGCATTTATAGAGGAGGAAAAATGAAAACTGGAGTGATGGAATGATTCACATTACACACAGCTAGGGAATAGTAGATACCTCAGTCAGTCTGCCTTGGTGCTTGTACTGCCCTACCTCCCAAGCAGTATTTTTTTCATAATGTGGACTATTTTTTTCCTCAGTATCAGACTTATTTCCCTACCTTCCTTTCCATGTAATTTTTCTAAGCTTACCCTGATGTGTTCTAAATATATATATATATATATATATATATATATATATATATGTATACACTAAAATATAAGGAAAATGGGGCTTAGCTAATCAGATCAATTCTAGACTAAGGTCCTCCTGTTCTAACTCCTACTAATCTTGGCCTTTCTTTTCTTAGTTCTGTGGCACTTGCTCTGGGTGCCCTAACTGTATGGCATGCCATTCTTATCAGCCGAGGTGAGACTAGCATTGAAAGGCACATAAACAAGAAGGAGAGACGTCGGTTACAGGCCAAGGGCAGGGTGAGTGTGGTGGAGGGTTTGGGTGGGCAGGTATGCAGCTGAACATGCATCTTGTAAGGAAAGGCCATGGCTGACCAGACAAGCATCATAAAAGACCAGAATCTGCCCACTTAGCTATCAAAGACGAGGGGGGTTAAATAGATGTTTGTAGAAACATATTTTTCTTGGCTCTAGGTATTTAGAAATCCCTACAACTATGGCTGCTTGGACAACTGGAAGATATTCCTGGGTGTGGACACAGGAAGGTAAAGTTAAAAAGCATAGACACTAGTGGTGGGTGACAGAACTATCTGGAAGCAATAGAATGTGGCTAGTACCACTAAGGAGTTTGTAATTGGATTTTATTTTCATGAGTTCAGATAGTTTCATGTGGCTAGTGATTGCTGACTCTAAGAATAGAGAATATTGCTTCCATTTGAAGTAGATGGGCTTGAGGCCACATAAGTGGTTAATATAAACCACTCAAGAGGACTAGAGGAGAACCTGAGAAAGCTCAGGAAAGGACATCTGGGGAGGACATAATGACCTCCAATCAGTCACCTACCTCTCACTTATATGACAGTATTTGGAGTTCATGCCATAATGTGAGAGAGTGAGGTAATCTACTTGTGACAGGTCCCAGCCCACGAGACAAGGGGAAGTTAACTTTAACTGTAGCCACTGAGGGTAACAATCAAATGAACTAAATACCCTTAGAAAATAGCTCAAATCCTCAAAAGGGGCTGGGTGTGGCGGGGGAACACATCTGTAATCACAGCACTTTGGGAGTCTTGAGACAGGACAGTCAGGAGTACAAGGATAGCTTGGGCTACATACCAAGATTAGGTCTCAAAACAAAAACAAAACCAAAAAATCTCAAGACAAACAAACACCTATGTCTCATGCCTGTAATCCTAGTTACTCAGAAAGCTGGGATCTAAGGATTGAGGTTTGAGGCCAGCCAGACAAGAAAATCTGAGACTTGTCTCCAATTAACCACCAGAAAGTTGGAAGTAGAGCTGTGGCTCAAATGGTAGAGTGTTAGCCGTGACTAAAGCTCAGTGATAGCCCTGAGTTCAAGCCCCAAGGACTGGCACCAAAAAATAAGAACCTCAGGGCTGGGAAGGTGGCTCAGTGGTAGAGTGCTTGCCTTGCATGCATGAGGCCCTGGGTTCAATTCCTCAGCACCACATAAGCAAAATGAAAAAAAAAGCGGGAAGTGGTACCGTGGCTCAAGTGGTAGAGCGCTAGCCTTGAGCTGAAGAGCTGAGGGACAGCGCCTAGGCCCAGAGTTCAGGCCCCACGACCGGACCCAAAAATAAAAAATAAAAACCTCAAAAGGTTTTCACATTCCCAGAAGGTACATATATTGGTCAGATTAGTGAAAGAAATTAAGAGCTCTCATTACCTTTGTGCTTGATGTATACTTGCTTCAGAATGAATAGGAAGGACAGTATGAACTCTTAGAACTCAAGGGACATTTCTATCTTCTCTTGTAGGCATTGGCTCACCCGGGTGCTGTTACCTTCCAATCACCTGCCCCATGGGAATGGGTTGAGCTGGGAGCCCCCTCCGTGGGTGACAGCTCACTCAGCTTCTGTCATGGCAGTGTAAACTAGGTTGTCAGCCATGCGTGTTTGATCTGATGCTTCAAGGGCAGCTTTTCTTGGAGTCCTTGATCAAAAAGAGCCATTGAGCCTGTCTTAGGGTCCTATGCAAGGACATCTCACAGACAGACCAACCTTCAGGACACTATAAAAGCAAGAGACAATGGAGAGAATTCCTGGGACTGATGTCCTTTTACTCAGGCAAATAGAAGTTCTAGCCCCAGACTTGGGGTCAGGCAACTGGCTTATCTTGTCTGACCTAGTCCAGTACTGGGGCTAGCTACCACCTCTTCCACTTCCTGTCTGGGAAAACAATGGTATAGTATGCTGGGCCTCCTGACTTCTCAGCAGGCAGACATCCGGCCTGCTCTTGAGGTCACTGCCATTCTCACATGCTACTGAAGAGAGCAAAAATAAAGGCATTTGATTTGTAAAGATATGTAGCTTCCTACTCTTTGCCTATTGGGTGGGAAAAAGGGAGGTCAAGGAAAATCTAGTGAGGTAGTCTGGTGGTACCTCCTATGTCCATCCTTGGAGGGGCTGGATGCCCCGCAGAATTCTTGGCTAATCTCTATCATGACTATTTCTGTAGCTAAGGCAATCAGAGGCCTCCTGGCTATGTGCTACTGAGGTGTATGTGAGATGGGGGAAATTCCTGACAGCTTCATTACCAAAAAAAATTTTTTATTCTTCAGCAGTACATACACATCCACTATCCCTGGTCCTCAGGGCCACACTCAACTGCACACACCCCTCTACAGCATAGCTCCCTTCTCCTGACATAAGATACAATGGGAGAGCCCTACAACCCAAGATCTTTCTTTAAACACAAGTAGTCTTGTTTAGTTACTTCACAAATCTGTTAGGAATCAGGACTCCTGTCTCTTTTGTACAGCCATGGATAATAGGCCCAGTACTTGTGCTGTGTTGGTGAGAATGACAAGCACAGGTCAGCAGTCTGCTTGCCGTGGGCAGAATGGCTTGATGATAATTCTAGGTTAGATTGTCAGTCAGAAGCGTGTAGACCAGGACGGGGGCTTGGGGACTCAGCTGCCAGGGCTCCCCAACAGAAACCTGTAAGCACAAAGAATGTTGGCAACGTTAGCATTGAGGTTTATTTTGGTCCTACCTTACCTGTGACCTAGAACTCACCATTCTCCCCTGGCTGACACAGCTTCTTTGCGCACCAGTCTCTTCTTGTCGTCTAGCGGCCTGGCTAAGGCCCGGATCACCTGTGGTTTGTATGGCAGCAACTGTGGAGTAAGAAATAATCTTAGTGTTGCTCAGCTTTAGCACCTGGAAATGGTGCTTCTCTGACTGTGTAACTCACATTCTGAAGTGAAATGTGCTTCATGTGCTGTGTGTGTGTGTACATGCATGCATGCTAGGGACTGAACCCAGAGCCTCACATATGTTCAACAACTGTAATGGGTCCTATTCTTTAGGGATTCCACAGTATCTCAAATGGCAGGATGGCCATTCTGTTCTGAAGTAGTCAGGGTTTCTGGCTCCGTTTTGGGCCCAAGGAAAAAATATCTGCCTGTATCTGTATTGAGATAAATCCATCTCAATAATATACAGTAGGATGGCTAATCCCACTAGACAAAACAGAAGGCAAAAAAAGCACTTCTCTATCTCATCTGAGCCTGGTTTCCAGGCTAGGATAGACGGGCGAGGTACTTACCACAGGGGTAGGCAAGCGAGTGAGAGCATGCATACACTGAAGTGCAGCAATCCGGACAGCCTGGAACATAACCAGAAGGTGAGTGGGAGATCCAAGAAGAAAGGTGCCAGCCACGTGCCAGTGGCTCACGCCTGTAATCCTAGCTACTCAGGAGGCTGAGATCTAAGGATTATGGTTCAAAGCCAGCCTGGGCAGGAAAGTCCTATCTATAATTAACCACCAGAAAACCGGAACAGCGCACAGGCCATCATGGGTGTGTGTGTGTGGGGTGTAGGGTGGATGGGGGAGGGGGGGGAAGGTGCCGGGGTCAACGCACCATGGAAGGGCTGGAGCTGAGGTTCAGAAACTTGGTGACCAAGGTATCAATATGAAGACTCATTACTTGGGGTGCTTCCAGTAGAAGAGGCTGAAGGCAGCTGAGGGTAGAGAGCTGGACCACAGAGTCAGGGCAGGACAGGGCCTCCAGTAGCAAGGAAAGGAGCTAGAATTTTGGATAGAAGCAACAATTTGATGCTGCTGATTCTCTTCCTCCCCTCTCCAGTCCTGACTACTGGAAAACAGCCTTGTCCTCGGCTAAGAGGCCAGATGGAAGACTTACCGTGGGCAGTTCTGGCAAGAGCACAGGCTTGGGCAGCCTATTGAGTACATGAGACAGACCCTTCAGGTAGTTTGGCTTCACATCTAAAAAAAAAAAAAAGGGAAAGGTCAGGAAAGAAACTGGGTTTAGGCATTCAGTCTCAAAATTAAATTCTGGGGAGCTAGGAATGTGGCCTAGTGGCAGAGTGCTTGCCTACCACATAAACAGAAATGGCCCTGTGGCTTCAGTGGTACGATTGCTAACCTTGAGCAAAAGTAGCTCAGGGACAGTGCCCAGGCCTGGAGTTCAAGCCTGAGGACTGGCAGGAAAAAAAAAGACAATTAAATTCCAATATCTAATAAGGCAGGATGGGACATCAGGCTACAAAAATTAGTGGGAAATAAAAACAAGGCCCCTTGAGCTTAGAATAATCAAGACATGCCCATCAAAGGAAAAAGGTAAAGTGAGAATCTGGAGGTTTTGCTTTCTAGGTATAAGCCACAGTATTGTTCTAGGCTTTATGGTCTTAAATTACTTTGGATTGTGACCAAGTAAAGGAGAGTTGTTTATATCTGGGGTCTTTCAGATTCTGCTCACCTTGGGGAGCAGCATGGAAGCCTTGGACCAGAGCAGGCACATTATCTGTGAAGAACCGCTGGCGGAACATGATTCGTACTTCTGCATGGCCAGCACGAGTTAGCACATCAGTGCAGTCAGACATGAGCAGAGAGAAGCCATCAGCAGCTGTAGGGCCTAGTTCTGGATCACTCAAGAGGCCCATGAGCTAGAGAAAAGAGAACCTTTGAAGTATACCAGGAAGAATCTTAAACACCAATGCAGGAGATGAAGTTGCATCTGAAAGCAAGTCAACAAGGGAGCTCCTGTTCAGGTCCTAGTTCTGCTTCAGGACTTACTCTATTTGTAAGGCAGGAGCTGAGAGGATGGTATCTGAGTACTAGAGCCTTGGTTACCTATAATACAAAGCAGAGAGAATGTCAGAACCTGATAGTCAATCCCTAGAACCCTAAGGGTTAGCTGCTATGTATGGCTCAGGATCAACCAGGAATATTTTATTTAGCTTGACATAGCTGCCTGTGTGTAACCAGAATCAAGTGTACCTCCTTACCCAGAGCAGCAGTGTGAAGGCCTGGCTACGAGAGGGCCCCGGGCTCAGGCTGGCCTCCACTGTGTCCATAGCCAGCTGGAGGAATTCATCTAGTTGCTGCCCTAAAAGGAAGCAGAACATACTGAGGCAATAGCACACGTTTTTCTACGATTAGTTTTGGTGCCAGCACTGGTACTTCAACTCAGGGCCTGAAAGCTATCCCTTAACTTTTGTGTTCACAGATGACACTCCAGTATAAAAGCACTCTTTTTGCTTATGTGGTGCTGAGGAATCGAACCCAGGGCCTCAGGCATGCAAGGCAAGCGCTCTACTACTGAGCCAACTTCCCAGCCCTATAAAAGCACTCTTAACAACACAGGGGTGATAGCATTGTCTATACCATAATGCCACTGTAGGAATAAAATGGCAGAAGTAGGCAGAGCATGCTCCTTGTACCCCTCAGATCCTGTTAATGCTTTGCTCAAGTCTCTCATCTCAGGGGCTGTGTAAGGATAGTGCTTAAGCAGCCAAAATCCAATTATATTACTAGCAAGTTCCTTTTGTGTGTGTGCTAGTGCTGAGCTTGAACTTAGGGCCTCACACTCTCACTTGGCCTTTTCACTCATGGCAGGCATTCTACCATTGGAACCATGCCTCCAGTATGGCCTTTTGTTGGTTAACTGGAGATGAAAGTCTCCATGGCTGGTTTCAAACTATGATCTTCAGCTCTGTCTCCTGAATAGTGAGGATTATAGGCTTGAGCCATCAATGCCTGGCAATTAACTCCTTTTGTAAGGAGAATAAGGACTGAACCTGAAGATTTTATCAGTAGCAGCACAGAGGGGGCTTTGTACCCAGGCCCATTGTAGTACCTGCAGGGTGCTTGTTGAGGAGTCCTGCAAAGCACTTGGCAGCAGCTGTAGCGGAGAATGGGCAACTGTAGCAGCAGCTCAGTGACAAAAGCTCCCGCATGAGTCTGTTCAGTTGAGGGATTTCCACCTACAGAAAACCTGGCCATGTAATGGACCCAGAAAACACTTGAGCTTCAAGATACCCAGTAGAAAAGTAGCAGCAGGGACCAAAATGGATAAGAACTTTCCCAGTGGGAAAGCAAAGGATCAGCTTAGCCTGTGATAAATTTCAGCCCAGAGGTCATATGGGATCCAACTCCCCAAACGTTCACTTACATTTCGAGGCAAGGAGCAGACAAAAGCCATAAGCAGTGCAACCAGCCGCCTCTGCCCCAAGGAGCCATCCTGTAAAGGGAGAAGGGTCCTATCAAACCTGTCCTTGCTAGCACTACATTTGTATGCCCCCATATACATCCCAAAGTAGTCCTAAAAATAAGTTTGAAGGGTGTGAATTCCAAGATTCTCCCCATCTGATCCATTAAACTGTCACCTGGAATGGCTGGAATCTGCTTGAGAAGCTGTTTTCAGGCAGAAAGGAGGTGTTGCCATCTAAGAAGAGGGGCACAATGCGGGTAACACTCTGAGCAGCTAACCTGGGGGCAGAGTACTAAGCATTACCACAGATAGGATTCCAAAGCAGCCCTTCCCTCACAGCAGTGCCTTTGAATCCGGGGTTCATTTTAGGGCCACTGAGTCTTGACCAATAAAACATTTAACAGTTAAAAATGGGCAGACATCCTGTGCCCAGACCTATGCACAGTGAATCACATACCAAATCACTGTTGTCTAGTGAGGATCTCAATATCTTCCTTCCTTCCTTTCTTCCTTCCTTCTTTCCTTCCTTCCTTTCATCTCTCCCTCCATTCTTCCCTCCCTCCCTCCTTTCTTTCAGGCCCCAGGTACTGGGGCCTGGGTGCTATCCCTGGCCTTTTTTGCTCAAAGCTCTACTACAGGCTTTTCTTTTTTTTTTTTGCTGGTCCTGGGGTTTGAACTCAGGGCCTAGGTACTGTCCTAAAGTCTCCTTGTGCTCAAGTCTAGTACTCTACCACCTGAGGCACAGTGTCTCAGCTTTTTCTGAGTAGTATATTGGAGATAAACTTTTCTGCCTAATCTGGCTTCAAACCAGGATCC